TATGAAGTAGCAATGAAAATAATTTTATGGTTGGGGGTCACCATAATATGAGGAAGCATATTAAGGGGTCATGGCATTAGGAAGGTTAAGAACCACTGTCCAGAGGCATTTCTCCTGATGTTTCGCCTGCATCTATGGCAGGCATCCTCAGAGGTAGTGAGGTCTGTTGAAACTAGGAAAAAGGGTTTATATATCTGTGGAATGACCAGGGTGGAACAAAAGACTCTTGACTGCTGGAGCTAGGTGTGAATGTTTCAACTGACCACCTTGATTAGCATTTGATGGCCTGGCAGTACCTGGGGCAATCTTTTGTTGAAAGGTGATTAGCTGTCCCTGGTCATTCCACAGATAAATAAACCCATTTTTCCTACTTCCAACAGACCTCACTACCTCTGAGGATGCTTGCCATAGATGCAGGCGAAACGTCAGGAGAAAATGCCTCTAGAACATGGCAATATAACCCGGAAAAACCTACAACAACCCAGTGAAAGCCTTCGACAATACATTGAACATCTCTACAGGGAGAAACCAGCCTCTATTGTTGTGTGCAAGTGTTGCCCCTGGGCAACCATTCTTCCCTCCATCTCTCCCTTTGCACTAGTACCAAATTCTCTGCTTCATATTTAAAAATAACAATATTTGTAGCCAATTTAGTTTCTGGATTTTAAAGACCAACATTCTGGATCTTCTAACCTTTGTAAAGAGCAAAAGGGGGACAAGTCCACTCTAGAATATCCTCCAGACCAGTGGTTCTCAACCTGCAGTCCCCAGATGTTTTTGGCCTACAACTCCCAGAAATAAATAAATAAATTAATTAATTAATAATAATAATAAACTTTCTTTGTACCCCGCTACCATCTCCCCAAAGGACTCGGTGCAACTTACATGAGGCCAAGCCCACGGCACATCAATAAACAAAGGCAATAACAAATAATCAATACAACAATTAAAATAAAATAAAACTCAAAAACAAAAATACACAATAAACAATAACAATATACAGCATTTAAAAACCTATGGCCGGGCCAAATGTAATAATTAAAATTTAAAAATGCTGGACATGAGCAAGGAGGTGAACTAGGATAGGGTTTTCAGAGAAAGATGAGGGCGCGCAGACAATCCTAAATCAATATTAAAGTGCATTTGAGGACATATTGCTAAGAGTTTTCCTTATTCTGGGAAGGCACACTGGAACAACCACGTTTTCAGACTCCTCCTAAAGGCTGCCAGCGTTGGGGCATGTCTGATGTCCTTAGGGAGTGAATTCCCGAGTCGAGGGGCCACCACCGAGAAGGCCCTGTCCCTCGTCCCCACCAATCGCGCCGGCGAAGGAGGTAGGAGCATGAGCAGGACCTCTCCAGATGATCGGAGAGATTGTGTGGATTCAAACACAGTAATGCGGTCACGCAGGTAGGCCCAGCCAGTTTACTAGCTGTTAGGATTTCTGGGAGTTGAAGACCAAAAACATCTGAGGACCACTGCTCCAGACGTTCTCATCCATCGCTTTTGTGCGTCCTTTCCATAGGAAGTCTTCTCCAAAGCAAAACTAAGCTGCAATTGTTGATAATTATCTGTGTGTTCTACATCGGACCATATACAATCCATAATGCCATGCACCATTGGAAAGTGTATGTTGGACTACAAGTCCCAAGTGTTGGGGGACGATGGGAATTGTATTCATCCTTTCCAGATTCTGCATCAAGAACATTCCATCCACACTTCGAAATTGGCATCAAAAGTTCATTTTTTTCTGACCGAAATGTCTTATAACTACATATATATATATACATATACACACACACATTGAATTTTTCTACATTGGATATTAAAATATGATTAGGGCACTAATTGTAAAGTACAGTCCCATAGAGCCTTTTGTATTCTTTCATTTGCATGTTAGTGATTTTTTTCTATGTATGAAATATTACTTTTAAATGTTTTTAAAATATATAAATATATATATATA